AGGAAGGCCCCAGGTCGTTCCCTTGGCCTAGGGCTCTCAGCTGACTCCCCAGTTTTCCACAACTGGCGCATTGCCTCGCCCCACTCAGGTGTCCTGGGGTGGACGCATCCCCCGGGGGCCCACGCCCAAACCGCAGTGGACCGGAGAGCGGGACTGGAGGGGGACATTTGTGAGGCCAAGTGCGTGAGCTTTGCCACTTTCCTTGTGATTAAATAGAAACTTTGTGTACTACACTATGTACATCTCTAATGTTTCCAAGGAGAATTTGGAAAAAATTTGTGGCAGAAATAAATAAAAAGTCTGCATAAAGATCATAACAAAAATTTAATGTCAAACCAGGAAAAAGATTTATAAAGTATATATTGAAGAGTTACGATCTTTACAACATAAACAACTATTCCAAAACAAGAAGAAATAGATGCCCAATTTTTTTTAAATGGCAAAAAATATGAAGAGACGGTTCTTAAAAATGAAATGAAATTACTGATAAGCATTTTAAAAAATCAACCTCCCTAGTAATCAAAGATTTTCACATTAAAGCAACTTTCAGACACAATCGTTCACCTCTAAGAAGGCTGAGGAAAGCAAAGCGATGCCGTTTTTAGCAAGCCCTGGAAACAAGGACAGCCATATACTCCTGGGGGGACTGAAATTTAGTCAGTCTTCCTAAATGGCAGTTTTCGATAAATGTCGAACATCTTTTGAAAATGTGTTTAGGTTTTTGTCCCAGCAGCCTTACAGGGAAAGGAGCTGGGGGGTGCACAAAAACTTACTTATAAAGCACGTTCAGTGTGTTACTATTATAAGGTTGAAAGACAGGAAACCATCTAAATAGCCAAGAGTGAATGAACTAAAAATAAAGAGCCAAATGATAAAACAGCATATAACCATTAAACTTTAGGGAAAAATTTAAGGATATGGAAAGATGTCCACAGTAAATGAAGTGAAGAAAAGCACATTGCAAAACAGTGTGGTACTGTAACATTTTGTTTAAAAAAAATTTCAACTGGTATTTATATGGAAAAGCATCTGGAAATATAATGTATGCTAAGGTGTTAATGGAAGCTCTGAAGTTGTTTCTGAATAGGTGGAATTGTGCAGGGGTTTTTTTTTTTTCTGTTTATTTATATTATCTGATTTTCCGCAATGCTCATGTATTTTTTATAACGAAAAAGGTTATTTTAATAATAAAAACACACACAGAAACAAGACTAGGAATGATATTTGCAGCAAAGAAGAAACATATTGAAGACAGCAAAGGTAGAAAAAGCACATATAAACATATGAAATGGAAAATTTCAGCAAAGACTAATATATTGCTAGTTAATAAAGATACAGAAAAACGGTTAGCACTATTAAAATGAAAGAACTGTAGAATTAATAAATGAAAGGGAATATTTCCTCAATTTCCAATTAATTAAAGCATTCAAGTTTTTAAAAATTATACCCATTTTTCATTGAAAAGTGTTACGCATGTGCTTTATGGAAAGAGTTTAATCGACATGAAATTTCAAAGACACACCTCAAACTCCACCACCCAGAAATCGCAGTGTTAATATTTGGTGAATGTCATTCTGAATTTCCCTAAGCATAGAAGGATGAGTAGAAATAATTTTACAGCACTTTTAAAAATATAGATTACATAATATAAATGTTATATATTATATAATTATATAATTATATAAATATATAATATTAACGTATGTTGATGTTATAATATGAATGTCAGAAATATATAACTATGCATATATAACTATTCTGATCTTTGTTCGGTTTCCTCAGAGCCTACAATACTGCCCGGCATACAGGGGCTCAAAATAAATATTTGTTGAATAAATGAACTGAATGGTGTCATAATGTCGTTTTAAAACAAAAAGAATTTAATTTTATTTGAATTTTATGGAAGGTGAAAAAGCTGAAGGAATTTCTTAACTTCGAATAAATGTTTGTTGTTCACTGACTTCCCCAAAGAAACATTAGTTCTTACAGATTCGTACGCAGTTTTAAAACATGATGATTAGCTATTAAGCTTTTTTTTCAAATTTTTGTTTTAATTTTGATTTTTTTTATCTTAAAAGAAATTGGAAACGTGAACTCATGTCCTGCCACTTCCCGCTTTTTGTTAGAGTCCCAAGTTTTTCATTTCAATTCACCTTCTTAACTGGCTGGGCTCCTTCCCCGAAGAGCATGTGGCTGCCGGGGACCCTGAGCCCTTTCCTGCTCCAGGATCTGCCTGCTCCCCTTTTGCTTAAATGACAGCTCACGCAGGTTTGATATTTTTGGATTTTGCTTTTTTTCCTTCGGAACATTCTAGACATTGCCCCATTGTCTTCTCTTAATGAGTCTGGTTCACTTGACTTTTTCCCCTTGTGGGCTTCTTCTGCCTGAATGTCTGAGAAGTCTTTGTTTATCCTCCAAGTTCAATATCTTATCCAGGATACAGCTTAACGCCAATACGCACGTATCATTTTTTTTCCTGATGCCCTTTTGATCTAAAGGTTCGTACTTTATTTCCGATGATTTATCTCTGAGCTATTGTCCCCCGTTTCCTTTGTCGGGTCCCTTATTCAGAGATGTCAGTTATCGTTATACTGGGTCATCTTTATCCTCTCTTGCTATCATCAACTCTAACCTAATCTTTGCCTTTTCCCTGTGTATTTCCCAGAATCATTTCATCAATTCTTTTTTGTCAATAATTTGATCTTTCAGTGATGTCTTAATAATTTCTCTTGATGTATCATCTTCAATATTATTTTTTGAACTCAGTGTGTTTCTTTTGCTCTGAAATCTTTTAAAACCTTATTCTATAATATCACGTCATCTCACTTTGGAGGTCTTGTTTTACCAAACTCAGTCTTATTAAGTTCTTCTCTCATCCAAAACGTTCATAGGTAGTTCCTGGAGTATGTTTCCATCCAGCACAGGCCATTCATTCATTCATTCGTTCATTCATTTTTATGGCCCCTTTCTTTAGTCTGCTGCTGTTGCTTGCTGTCGTGTGTTTGTATGGTTGCCATACCAGGCCTTTATCTTATTCAAGTTTATTGAGTACAGCTCTGTACACATCTATTTACTCTACAGAGTGAGGGAATTTTCCTCGACACGCCCCCCTCTGCCTTTCCACATTATCTGGGGCTCACTGTCTTGCAGGCTACAGTGTGGCGGTGGATTTTACTCAGCTCTCCACTTGTCTACAGTCTGGGGACACAGAGATGGGGACAGGGAAGGTGATGGGGTGAGGAGCATGGCCAGCGGACTTCTCCTGGGAGCCTGGACTCTGCTCTCCCTTTTGGGGTGCCACCGAACGTCAGAAACCAAGGTCTGTTCCATCCAGCCAAGGCTGTATCGCACTTCTGTGGTTTTTGGCTCCCTCCACGATGGCAGGCCTTGGCAACTCCTCCTCTGCCCTAAGGTTTCAAGGTGACATTTAGGGCCTTCCAAGCTCAAGGGATCTTTTCGCATGGCTGCCTACTCTGTCCTTCTCTTCTAGAGATTCTGTTTCTCTCTAAAATGAAGAGTATTAGTAAAAACGCTAATTTTTTCATCAACCCCCCTTTCTCTTCTTGGGAAGATTGGTTTGCACTCGAGAGCAGCACTACATCAGAACTTTCTGGTTCTTTACAAGGTCACGACTCTTCTAGACACAAAAGTGATTCCTCATTTGGTTATTATTTGTATTTATTTGCAGCTGTCTTGCTTTTTAAATTTGTTTGTTTAGTAATTTACTTCATTAGGAATTAGGGAGGATGTGTATCCATCTATCTTCTCCAGCTGGAAATCACTCTCTACCGTCTTCAGCAGAATATAGAGAACATGGCTTTTCTGATGATTCGGGGTGTCACTGGGATCGCAATGGCTGCAGCTCCAGGTGTTGATGAAGTTGCTGTGGGAGGCAGAGAAGTGAGGATCCTATGACAGGACCCGATCTCGGATGCTGGCAGTTTCTTGCTCTGGCCTCAAACACCTGAAATTAGCTTGTAAAGCACACGCCCCTCTGACTAGTGGGCAAAAGTGGACTTCATAACACCAAATTCCATGGAGGTCAAGAGAAAGAAATGTCATTCCGAGGGGGTTTCTCATTGCCCCGACTCCTCATTTCACTACTGCTTTCAGGGTTGTCTGATGCGTCGCCACGATGGCAGTGATCAGTGCTGCTGTCATCGCTAAGTCAAACAACAAAAGCCCTACAGCGCTCGCCTGTCAGCCTGCCCATCTCCTCCCCGCCACGGCACCAACGGGCGTGTCCCACCATTTTTAGACTGTGATGGAGGCTCAGTTAGGGTTTCTCGGTCGTCGGCAACAGAGCACGATTCTGGCTAAATTAAGCAGAAAAGAATTCGTGGGGAATTATGGGGTACCCCACATTTTCAAAGAAAGAGTATTCAACTCTAGAAAAGAGGGGACCAAGGCATTTCTAGGAAACTGAGAGGGAAGACACAGAGGACAGTTCCTTCTCGGCACTGCTGTTAAAATAATTGAGCTCCAACCGTTTTCATCCTGATGTTCTAGTCAAGACTTAAATTCATGAAGGGAGAGGGTCTGCTTGGCCCGGCCCTTGACTGAGCAAGAGCAGAACACCTCAGGCAGATAGTTCTCCAAAGCGACACCAAGTTTCTGCTGACGAAAGAAGGGGGACTAGACACAGGACAGGCAGAGTCCTCAGCTGTTTCTACAAACGTCACACCGGAAGACGATGTGTCTGCTCCTGGCACAGCACCAAGTCACCATATCCTCTTAGGAAAACATTGGACTTTTAACGAAATGCGAGACACACACACAAACCCAATAAAAATTACACCTTCAGTATGACATTATGTGATGGGTCCATTTTTCTCAGAAAATCCTAAGCTATGATAACATTTTGTAGTCTGAATAACACACTCCGGAGTTTAGTTTACAGCAGGAAGGTGACTTGGAAGGGAGACTTAAGTTTCAAAACCACTAACCTTGCCTCTGTAAGGGTAAATGCAGAACCATAGTTTAGCATCGGAGTAGCTTGTCGATGCACAGATAAGCCAAAAATTCTGTAGAAGAAAGAACCAGTCAGGAAAATGTAATTGAGAAGCAAAATAGGTGATCGACGGGCCTTGCTATTCAAAGTGTGGTCCTCAGACGAGCAGCATCCCTATCACTTGAGGACTTAGTAAAAATGCAAACCCTCAGGTCCCCCCCAGACCTACGGAGTCAGAATCTGCATTCTAACAAGCCCCTCGGGTGATTTCTGTGCACATGAAAAATTGAGAAGCACAGATTCGGGGCATAAACTCTTAAGTCAAACGGCTTGTGTTAGCAAGTAGTCGATGTGAGCAGACTCTTGGAGCGGGAAGTTCACTAATGCATATAGACCGAAACGGTCGGGTTAGAAAATCACCATTTTGCTATCCTATATGACATAACAGACCTCGATGGCACTCGCTGGTGACTGACGGCTGCTAAGGCAGATGAAAGACTGACGTGGAGCTGTGTCATCAACTGACCAGGCTGACACCACCTGAACCCGTGGGACGATCTTCACATCATTAAAACTGAGTCACTAGATAGCCTGCATGACAGAGCGGGGGAGTGGCACCCGCGAAAGAGTCTTTCCAGAAAATTAAACCCGAATGAAATTCCACCTTTGGTTCTAAGTCCCGGTTTCAAGGAAATATAAGAGACAGAAAAACACGTTAAATGACAGCAGCAAGACAGCAGTAAAGAACAAAATCCAGAATATTTTATAAGTAAATGGAATGGGGAATTTAAGTGGGAAACTGTTACAGATCAGAACAGACTAAAGAACATCAACCGAATGCAGTGTTGGGGGGTTGCACCCTGATTCGAACATACCAGCTGCAAAAAGACAGTTTGGGGCCATTGGGGAAAACGGAACACAGACCAAGTATTAGATGATACACAGGAATCATTTTTGGGGTGTGAGAACAGTATATGGTCACATAAAAGAGGAAAAGTCCTTACGTGTTACATACACTTAATAAGGTATTTACGGGCAAAACGATATGATACTCAGGATTAAACCATTCCAGAAAACACCACCACACGTGCTGTGAAAGCTAAGAAAGAGATAAAACGAGACGGCAGAATGTTGATCGTTCTTCAGAGTGAGTGACGGACACGTGGAGGTTCATTAGGCTACTTTCTCTACTTCTGTATATGTTTGACACGTGCAAAGTAAAATGTTTAAAAAAGAAAACAAACCTACCCGGGCTCCTGTCTTGGCAACGACACTTCTAGGGAAAGTTACTGATCGAGGGAAAGTTACCGAACCTCTCTGGGCCTCCATGACCCCATCTGTAACTAAGAATAGTAACAGTACCTGTTTCATGGGCTCATTGGGGGGATTCAGGAAGCAAGACTTGTAAAGCACATTCAAAAATATCAGGCACATAGTAAACACTCAACAAACCTTCACCATCAGTTCAGTAGTGAGATACTAGCTCAGGTTCGACAGAGCCACAGGTTAAGACAACACATCTCTGAAAGCCCGCAGTCAACAAAATCTTTTAAAGACAAAGGTCTTACCTTACCCGAACATCGGCAAATATACAAACTGTCACCTTGCCCTGATTCTGCTTGAAAAGGGAGGGGGCTTGAATCTTCGTCCACAAGAGAATAAGCTTTGTATAAACACGTCGATTCTACGCAGTTGCAAATCTCTTCCGTCCCTTAGTCTATGCCCAGAAATCAGTTGCCTGAAGAATCCACAGAATGCTTCTAGAAGGTCGTCTTGTGCTAATGATTTTTCCTATTGAGCTTTCACAGATGCTACGTCTCAGTTTTTAGAGCTGAAATGTCCTTTCTGAAAAAGAGGCCACCGCCACACAACCCTGGACCCATGGCTCGAGCCACAGAATCGCCTGGAAGGCTTGGTAAACCGCAGACTGCTTACTGCTGACATGCCTGGGGCTTTAAATGACTGCATCCTTAAAGGAGCCTCAGCTTTGCACCTGTAAAACGGGCATAAAAACATCTCCCTTGGCTGCTCCTTCGCGGAGTAACTGAGTTAGCGCCCACAAAGCATTCACTCCAGGGGAGATTCTTGATGACAGCTACCTCCTTCCCAGAGGCGAGTCCTTCCACCCCGCAGCCTCTGCCCATCTGACCTCTTGCTCTCAGAAGAAACCCCTCCTTTCGTCCCACTGGCCTTCACTCCGGTGCCTCCTTCTCTATTTCCCACTAACCGAGGAGGCACCGGTGGGGCCAGCGTCACGTCCCGGCACCTCCGCTCGGCTGTCTCCGCGAATCCTCGCACACTGCCAACTGCCCGGGTGGCCGCTCGGCTCTCTGCCCTGAGTTCAAAGAACAGGAGCTTTTAAGGATGCTTCGAACCGGTTGCTTCCACCACTGACTGCTTGCTCCGTGCACACACTTTAAAGTCTCCAGGTGAGACCCTGTCTCATCTCATCCTACGAGGTGTGTCTCGTCTTGATTCCTTTTCCAGAAACAGTCTTGTTCCCCTCGAAGAAAAGGAGAAGAACAAAATATGATTTCTGGCTCTCCACCGCACTTCCTAGAGGATGCTGTTGCCCCATCAATTACTCGGGAGACACTAGGGCCCAAGACCTGGCGGCTGCCGAGGGCACGGGGCTGGGGGGACAGAGCAGAGCACCAGCATGACTTGGGCAGTAGGAAGCTGGCCGCTCAGTCCCCGCATTCTCTTGGGATTAGGGGGCGTATTCTCTTCTGTTTTTGGAATAGTCCAGATGCTTCGTGTACCCCATATAGTCTCAGCAACGTCCCCATCCTCCGAGAGACACTGGAGCACCAGCTGGGGACCAGATGGTGCAGGTTCTGGTCCAGGTGGCCCCAGGAGGGGAATTAGCCCCCGCCCTGTCCCCTGCAGCATGGTGCAACCCATGTGGCAGTAATGTGACACCCAAAGTCACACTAAAAGTTGACAGATGAATGAGCAGAGCCTAAGGCAAAGCAAGAAGACCCAAACTCTCACCCTCTGCCCGCCCCCCACCCCACCCCAGAGCTGTGCACTTGACCTGCACACCAATGGGCTGAGTGCCACCAGCAGCCTGGCTGTGCCCATGGGGCAAGAGAGGCGGCCTCAGGCTCAGACCAGCAGATTTAACAGATGACGAAGGCGCCTTCTGCTCCAGGTCACAGGCCATGAGCACGGCAAGGCCACGGCTCCTCTCGTCAGCCAGGCTGGTGGCAGCTGCCAGGACTCCCTCTCCTCATATCATCCAGGATCATGGCTTTTATACCAAAAGAATGGTGGAGAAGTCCTGTCAGGGATTTTCTAGAAGCTCCCGTGTAGGCTGAGCCAGCACACGCACAGCCCAGGCGAGGGCGAGGGCACAAAGCACCCAGGGCCTGGCTACCCGCAGGCAGCCCCGCCTCACCTGGCAGCTTGTCAGAAGTCCAGTTTCAGGCTCCGCCCAGATCTGACTTATCAGCCTCTACATCTTGATGTTGGCAGGTGATTTGCAAGCCTATTAAAGTTCAAGAAACACTAGCTTATGAAGCTTGTTGCATTTCAACCAAACCATCCGAGGTGCAGAAGCTGGCTCTTTCCCCAAAGTCACTGGGAACAGGAAGTGGGGAGGGGACTGCGCAGGAAGTGCTGGCTCTGCTTTGAAACCTCTTAAATACGGACTGCACCTGGGTGCACAGCCCAGCCCCTCTTTGCGTCTGGGCCTGACAAGGAGGCAGGGAACGCTGTGTCTCATGGCCAGGTAACCTCAGGTGGCAATCCTTAGTTCCACGCAAGACAGGCCCACGGTTCCCAGTTCAAAGCCACGCAAGGAAACCAGAAAATTCACCCTGCAGACAGACAAGCCGGCTACATTTTTGTACTGCTTTTTCCAAAGCTCTAAATTACAATGTTAATGATCGTAACTATTATCATAGTATTCATGACCGAAAACTTACTGCAGGGCAGGAAGGGCGGCCAGGCCACAGGCTCGGCTTCTTGGCTCATTTATTGTTCGTATAACCTTGAGCAGGACATTTAATGTCCTTAAGCCTCAGTTTCTCCCTCTATAGAATGGGGTCCTTTACAGGTGATTGTGAGGAGCAGATGCAACGGGGACCGGGAAAGCCGCCGGCACTATGTGTGACAGCAGATTTGCCGTAATGACTGTGGAAGAAAGTCCACGAGAGGTCGGTCCCCAGCACTGCAGGGGACCCCTAGAAGCCATTCAACCCATCCCCCAGCCTCCTGAAGTGAATGGCCTTGCCAGGCTATGGGACTGTGACACACCCACTTATTCAAAAAGTGTTTGGGGTGCCAGTTCTGGGCCGAGCACTCCTGGAGGTGCCGCAGAAATAGAACACAGCGGAGAAAACGCTCTCACCTCACGGAATGGCCCTTCTGAGCGCAGGGAAAAGCAAAGTGCAGGTGCCAACGGGGAGGTTCGTCATTCGCTGCCCTCTCCCACGCACACCGTCATCTGGCCGACGTGCAGGAGTGACCTCTATGTGCTAATTAAAGAAGACAGGCCCCCCTGTGGGCGACACAGGGTGATTATGTGAACGTGCATATAGTCTCATCCGAGCAAGAAGGCCACCCAATCCGCCTGCCCATCTCGCCAAAATGCCACTCTTTTGAGACCAGATTGATCCCTCGGACTGTCATTGAAAAATGCAGAGGCTCCAGGAAACTGGAGCTGTAGCCTTGGTGTGAACTAGTTTATCAGACAAATGGTCGACCCGAGAAAGCGGGAGTTGGTGGTAGGTGAGACGCAGGTGTACACCAGGAGCACAAAGAGCGGGAGCAGAGAACAGGCAGCCGGGGCCAGGTCATGTCCATCCCTGGCCATGGGCTCACGGAGGCAGAGCACCTGCTGGGTCCCTAGGAGAGCGGAGGTGCTCGGCCTGAGGAGGAAGTGGGCACACCCAGAGCTGTGGCACGTCTCCCCCCAGACCTGAAGCTGTAGAATCAAGGCAAGGAGGAGCCCTGATCAGGCCACCGTGACCTGAGAGACAGAGAACACATTAAGTCAGGGACTCCATTAGATGCCTCGGCCCAAATGAGATCAGATCGGCCAGATAACTAGTGTGGTAAACAGATCTTTGGCCCAAGCACCAAGCCGTCCATCCACCCCGCAGGGCCGTGAGGGCGCTGGGACTCAGGACAGGTAAGTTTTGATGAGGGGAGGGGAGCAGACGCGGGAAGCAGAATAGGCCGGGGCTGATCTGAAGACAAGGGGTGCGGGGTGCTAGAGTAGGGGTATCCAGAGAGGAGAACAGGAGGGCTCAGGACCCTGGGCCGGAAGGGAGGATGGGGAGCAGTGGGTGCCCGCTGTACAGGCCGGAAAGTTGCAGATGACAAGAGTGGAAGGGAAGCGGGAGAAAGCGAAGGGTGGGGGGAAGGAGGGAGGGAGACGTGAAGGAGGGAAGGAAGGGAAAGAAAGGGGGGCAGGACTGAAGTACAGAGAAGTGAGGGTGCCGCTCAGGGGCCCAGGAGCAGCCTGTGCCAGCCCAGTGCTGTCCGGCTTGGTCCTTGACCTCCTCGGCCTGCCCACGGCCCATCAATGCCTCTTTTGTGATTCAGGTACAAGCCCCAGCCCGTCCTCTGCTGCCATTGGGGAGCCGAGGCCTCGCATCGTCTGGTACCCCATGCGGCAGGGCCTGGGGCAAGGAGGCAGCCTCTCCCACTGGCACCAGAAGCTGCAAACAACCTACTTATCACTGCCCCTTTGTGTGGGAACAATAGGCCCCCACGACGAGGCACTCCCCCTACCCCCAGCCAGAGAGAGGAAGTCTCAGGACAATGACCTCCCTTCCCCCACTTCCTGGTCTGCATGGAAATGTGGGGATGGAAGGAAGCCTCAGTGACCCAGAGAGGCCCAGTTCTCACCTACGAGTTGTCATCCCCTCTGAAACCGCACCTGCCGGCCACCTCCTTACCCCACGGACTGTCCCGTTTCCCAGCCCTGCCCACTACCCCTCCCCCGCAGCTTCCTCCTCTCCACCCCCCGTACCTCGCCCCCCGTCCGGACTCTCCCATGACCTCCAACCATGCACCTGTGCTCCTCTTGCCTTCCCTCTCTCCAGGTTGTTCTGCTCCAGGCTTTTCTCCACCAGCCGCTAACACGGTCTCACTAACAGCGACACATGGACCAGCCAGCCTGGGCCACCATAACAAGTACCATGGCAGGGCGGGCTGGGGTGGAGCCTTAAACAACAGAAATTTATCCTCTCACAGCTCTGGAGGCTGGATGTCCAAGATCAAGGTGTGCGCAGGTGTGCTTTCTCCTGAGGCCTCTCTCCTTGGCTTGCAAGATGGCGCCTTTATCCTGTGTCCCCCACGTGAGCACATCCCGGGTGTCTCTTCCTGTTCCTTATAGGGACACCAATCCTATTGGCAACCCCGACCCGCCATGAGTTCTTATAACCTTAATTACCTTTTTAAAGGCTCTATCTGAAATACAGTCATATTAAGGGTTAGAGCTTCAACATAGGCACTTTGGGGAGACATAGTTCAGTCATAACAACATCTCCCTACATCACCGGCAGCTCCCGTCACCTCCCCAAGGCTTCTGAGCGTAGCCTGCAGAGTCCCCCACACCACTGCCCTATGGGACACCTCAGCCTTACCTCCTGTTCCACGTTCCTCAGAACTCATCACTGCTGGACACTACAGCATACGCTTATTTGTTGTCTGTCGTCTCCTGAAATGCAAGCTCCTTGGAAACAGAGAATCCCAGTCCTTGGAACAAGGCCTGAAACTTAGGAGGCATTCGATAAATGCCAGCGGAAGGAAGGAAGGGATCCCCCACTTCTTCTCCTACTGCACTTTGCCCTCCCCTCCCGCCTCTGAAACTCAGAGCTCCGCTCATGCTGTGCCCTGGGTCTAGGACACACTTCCAGCCCCTCCTTTGTTGGACAAGTGTAATTTCTCTCCAGCATTCAGTTCAAGGGATTCTCCTGCAGGTGCTTGCTCTGCGGCCTCAGTGTGAGCCCAGTCTCCTGGTACAGCCATCGGATTTGCCATACTGCATTGAAATCACCTGCTTACACATGACTGTTTCATCCAGCTGTGCGCCAGAGCCTCCTCACGGCAGGGCTGTGTCCTTCCCATCTCATTACTGCTGGCACCTGGCGCAGAGCCTGCTTTGCAAAGCAGAAGACTCTTTTGATGTGCACTGTAGTTAGCTATCATGCCGCATCTGCTCTAAAACCTCTGTCCCCTCAATCATTCGTTTCTCCATCAAATGATTATTGAGCACCTACTACATAGTGTCTTCACCCTGGTCCGTGAATTCGGGAAGTCCGGGAACTCACCTGGAAAAAAATTGACACCTTTAATCTTACCTCGAATTCAGCGTTTCCATCAGTGATGTCCACAGGCCCCGAACCACAGCGGTATTACCGGTACCTGTGACCTCCGTCACCAACAGAAATCTCTGGTATTTTCATATCGTATCATAATTGTTGCAGACATTGCAAAATAACATTTACCCTCATCAGTACCTTTAAATGTACTTAATACAGTAGTTATTATACCCATATAAAGTTTCATTATTTAATGTATTAAAAGGAGCAGAAACATCGTTAGACTGCCTTTTTAGTATTTTGACAACCATTTCCATTATATTTCGGTATATTTGGTTTCCTTTGTAATCTGATGTATTTTATTTTGCGCACTTTCCCGGAGGGCGAGGAGGCCCCGCATCCCTGGCCAGCCCGCCTCTAGGATCTGGGTCTCTGACCAAGAACAGGATAAGATGGTTCCCTGCCCCACAGAGCCGTGCTCCAGGGGGCGAGACAGAATAAACACTTGCACAAAGGAATACATGGTATAACCGCCCATCGGGACAACGACTGTGAAGCAAACATACAGGACAAAGGGTCGGAGAGGGGCCGTCCCAGTGACGTGGTCAGGAAAGGCTCACAGAGGGTGGGGTATCTGGACGGACCTGAATGTCACAACGTGAGCGGTGCAGAGAGCTGGGGGATGAGTGGTCTGGGCAGAGACAATGGGACATGCCAAGGCCCTGAGGTGGGCCCGAGGGGACATGGGGCTCTGTGGCTGGATGAGGATGGAGAAGGGTGGTTGGCTGGGCCAGTCCTGCAGGACTCTGCAAGCTGGGGGCGGAGCCACGGGGGCCGCTGGAGCCGTGACAGTGGAGAGCAGAGATGCTCCCAGTCTAATTTATGGCCGAAAGGATCGCTTCACTGCCACGGGGAGACGGAAACGGGGACCAGTGAAAAAGCTATCGTTCTCACCCAGCCGGACACAAGGGCGCCCAGGACCAGCACGGGAGTTAGAGAGGGAATGAAAAGTGGTCGGATTTGGAATATGTTTTGAACGTTGAAATGATAGGACTTTTGATGGGCTGCAGGGAGTGGACAGTGGGGAGGAGGGCTGAAAAAGCAGAGTCAAGGCAACTCCCTGGCTTGGGGCCTTAGTGACTGGGTAGATAGCGGTGCCAAGATGGAGCAGCCAGGGAGAGGAAGAAGTGGGGTGGGCCCCGGGTCCTCTGCTCCCAACCACACCCAGGGTAAAAGCCCAAATCCTGTCACCTGGCTTTAAATCCCGCACCACCTGGGTGCTCCATCCCCCTCCAGGTCCATCCCCATCCTGCTGTCCCTTAGGTCACATGGTTGGCACCAGCTAAGTCCGTCTGCTTACCGTACCCCTCGTAAGCGCTCACCGCCTCCCACTCCACTCTCATCCTGACCCCCCGCACCCCCAGTCTTCCAACTCCCACACCAGGGCCCAGATAAAACCCCATCTCTTCCACGCAGATTTCCTGGCTAGTCCTCATTCTTCTGAAACCCTGCGCTAATTTGGTCCTCTCGTTTGGTGTTTGGCACATCCCGCCCACGTTGCTGGTGACTTTCCTCCCATCCTCCCTCCAAGTGGTCAGTCCCTCAGGTCTCGGCCCACGATGCTCAGGAGTGTGCAGTGCACACAGAAGGCCGTCCGGGGTTAGTCTCGATGCAGCTCAGATGTTGATCCGCAATTAATCTGTGAGCGTCTTTGGATCTGCCAACAGCTGGGGCCCGCGTTTTGAAAATCTTTGCTTGGTCGTCTCCCAACTTGAACAGTTACTTAAAAACTACTAAGTGAGTTATTATGAAATGTGACGTTTTAAAGTATCTGTGAAGTTCTGAAATTCTTTTAAGGACAATCCAGAGCCATTTTAATCAGAAAGCTCATGACTGGGGCTCATTAGTCACACAGATGGATGCAAAAGCAATGTACAGCTTGGTTGGAAACGCTTAACTAGTTTTCAGGTCACGCTGGTAAGGCAAAATGGGGGTGTTTCCTCACACAGCCATGGCCCCCACGTCTGCGGTTTCCTGTTGGAGCAGGATGGACAGTTCTCCATGTTTCTGGAACTGCTGGTTCTGTTTCCTCTCTCCGCCACAGCACACAGTTCTGGCGATTGGTCCTGTGCAGCAGTATTTAATCACAATGCATCTCGGTGTCCCATAAATACTGCAATGTGCTTTGCTCTCTCGGCGTGGGTATTTCTAATTGCCTGCCAGATTGGAAACGTGTGGCTGGCTCTCAACAACCTCTGCTGTTTTTATGGCAAAATACAACCCGAAGAATTGGAACACCTTCAAGAGAACCTGTAAGTTCAAAACTACATTCTGAATCACCTGAAACGAATTTAATATTGTATGCCAAGTATAATTTAAAAAATAAAAACACAAAAATTAAAAAAAGAGAACTTTCGAAAAAAAAAAAAAACCGACATTCTGATTACATAAGAAAAATGCTCTTCAATCCTAAGTGTCCACCGAACTCCGAGCCTGCTTTGCACGCACGGATGCGGCACGGACATCAAGCGGCCTTCAAGGATTATGGGTGGGACGACATCACAGCCGCTCCGCAGTTATGGTAAACTGAGGCACGCTCTCACCTGGTGACCTGAAATACCTGGTGTTTGGGGCGGGGCAGTTGCAAAAAACACTGGCTTGCCCGCTTCTTCAATTTACTCAAACTCTAGTCCGGGAGATGAGAGATTTACCAGCCCCTGCTTCCGTGTGCCACGTGGAGGTACAGACAGCTGCCAGCCTCCAGTCCAGCGACAGACAACACAGACACGAGAAAAGACCTCAGGAACAGGATGGAAGCCATGTTTCTTGCTCACCACGGTGGCTCTGATTGGCCCCTCACACTCTCCGCTTCTGTCAAGTGACGTCAGCACCAACTTCCAGAGAAGACGGAACTGAACTGGAATCCCAGCTAGGGCGCTAAGCCACGTTTGCACTTGGACATGCGAATGACCTCTCTGACCCTCAGTTTCCTCATTCGTGAAACAGGGAGACTACTTTAAAGGCTGGTATGAGAAAAAAAGGAGAGGAACGAGTGGTTCTAAAGTTCGGAGAACCATGCCCGGCACACAGCAGTTACTCAATAAATGGGAGCTACTCATATTATGGAGCAAGACCCAACGGGTAATTAGAAGCTGGGGGTCGACGCTGCAGGGCCGCACTGAATGGGAGAAGGCGGGGTCCCCGTTCAGGCAGCCACAGGCACGTTTGCAACGATGCCCAGCCAGAGGCGTCACTTCAGTCTTTCTTGCCACTGACGCCAGGCACCCTTTCATGAGCCCTGTGCTCGCGGCTGTGCACTGACCCACCAAGCCCTGGGGCCTGTCTCGTGACCACCGAGGTGGAGGGAAGTGTGAACGCCGCAGAGAGAGGGAGAGGCACTGGTGATTGTGAAGGAGACCAAGGAAGATTTCACGGGCCAGATAGATTTCTGCAGCCTATTGATTTTGGAAGCCCGTTTGCAGGCTGGTCCAGGAGGCCCGTCCACAGCACGGCGCCTGGAAAAACGAAGCAGAACACTTGTTAATTCTTTCTGTGGCTCTGCGGCCACCAGGCCGTGCCAGCCCCCGCTCCATTGACTACGGGGCTCGTTCGCTCTACACCTCTGCTCCTCCAAGGCCTCGGGGGGACCTGGGTGGGCAGCCAAATTCTT